CCTGTGTGTACCTGTGTGTACCTGTGAGTACCTGTGTGTACCTGTGTGTATCTGTGTGTACCTGTGAGTGCCTGTGTGTACCTGTGTGTACCTGTGAGTACCTGTGTGTACCTGTGAGTACCTGTGAGTACCTGTGTGTACCTGTGAGTACCTGTGAGTACCTCTGTGTACCTGTGTGTACCTGTGAGTACCTGTGTGTACCTGTGTGTACCTGTGAGTACCTGTGAGAACCTGTGGGTACCTGTGTGTACCTGTGAGTACCTGTGAGTACCTGTGTGTTCCTGTGTGTAGTTGTGTGTAGTTGTGCGTACCTTGCAGCCTGTGGTGGGGTCGTGACCCCAGTAACCCTTCTCACACCTGTCGCAGGAGTCTCGCTCTGTGTGGGCGGGGCAGACGCACTTGCCGCTGTCAGGGTCACAGTTTCCTCCTGTGTCATCACAGGTGCATGCTGGGAGGAGAACACATCACAGTCAGACAAAAGAGAGCCGACCAATCAGCAGGCAGACAAACACCTTGTTATCTCTGTGTCACTACCTTTGCAGCCGTTGGCATGGAAACCATAGTAACCATGGCTACAGCGGTCACACTTGTCTCCAGCCACGCCCTCCACACACTGGCACCGCCCCTCCTCATCACATGACTCAGAGAGGGATGTTGATTGGCTGCAGTCACAGGGCTGACAGCCCCGTCCACTCTGCAGCCCGAAGAAGCCAGGCTGAAAGAACAAAAGTCAAAACTAAAAGTGAAACCATGACAACAGATGGACGAGGACGTCACTGTAATCATCAGTCACTGATACTGACAAGGACTCCTAACTGTCCTCGCATGACGGTGTAAGGTCCAAATCCACTGTTGGTAATGTAGGAATGTATGTGTGTTTCTCTCACCTGGCAGCGGTCACAGGTGCGTCCCGTCACATTTTCTCTGCACGAACATTGAGCTGTTGTGACATCACATACGTTGGAGAGGGAGCCGCTGACATCACAGCCACACTCTGTGACAGAGAGTAGACCCGCCCATTGTTAGTTCAATTCAGGAGCCCGCCCAGTGATGTAAAGCCCCGCCCCCAACAGTCGCATTTTACAACTACAGCTCCCATGATGCTTTGCTTCTTTGTAACAGTGATGAACAAGAAACAGATTAATTCTGTAAACAATGAAAACTTATGTGAAAACATAACGAAACTTTTTAATGATAAATTATAACACACACACAAACTTAGCAATTTATGACATAAACACAATTCAAATTTGTACTATTGTTTATAAAACCAGATTTGAGAGAGATCTTTTGAGAAGTGTTTTGAGAATTATTTCACACTGAATTCTGACGTTCATCAATATAGTACCCGGCAAGCCAATTATCTGCCTAAGAATCTCACCACAAGGGGTCATCTTTTGCTGAAGTATTGTGGTGCAGAGCTGCGGAATTATCATCAACACTTGGTAAATATCTCTCCATTTCTGTCAATATTTAAAAATAATTTAAAACAATTTATGGTTTCTCTATATTCAAAATGAACTATAAAATTGTTTAGATGCAGGATAAACTTTGCATTTGACTATGGTGCTTTGATGATGTTTTGAATGCAGATTAGTGTCACACCTTCAGTGGTACATTTGATTAGTATTTTGTTTCTGTTCTCGATTTTGTTTGTTTCTGATAAATATACAAAACACACACACACACACACACACACACACAGCATTGATTAGGGACTTTATTAGATGGCCTACTTTATGTTTCTTTTCTACTTTATATTTCTATTTTTGGTACTATATTGTATCTTATTGNACACACAGCATTGATTAGGGACTTTATTAGATGGCCTACTTTATGTTTCTTTTCTACTTTATATTTCTATTTTTGGTACTATATTGTATCTTATTGATTATTTTATAAGCAATTTTAAATCTTTGTCTTTTTGTTTTATTGAATATTTCGGTGAGATAACTTATAACCCTTTAAGGAGTTTTTCATCTCACCTGCACAATCTGTTTTTTTTGTTGTTGATGTTTTTATACCAATTGTTTTAATACTGTGCAAATAAATAATACGAATAATACGAATAACCAAAGAAATCAACCTCAAAGACCCTGAGAGACCTGCAGGACCGTGAGAGACCTGCAGGACCACAAGGACCCTGAGAGACCTGCAGGACCACGAGGACCTTGGGAGACCTGCAGGACCACGAGGACCCCTGAGAAACCTCAGGACCACAAGGACCCTGAGAGACCTGCAGGACCACAAGGACCCTGATAGACCTGCAGGACCCCGAGGACCCTGAGAGACCTGCAGGACCCCGAGGACCCTGAGAGACCTGCAGGATCACAAGGACCCTGAGAGACCTGCAGGACCCCGAGGACCCTGAGAGACCTGCAGTACCCTGATAGACCTGCAGGACCACAAGGACCCTGAGAGACCTGCAGGACCCCAAGGACCCTGAGAGACCTGCAGGATCCTGAGGACCCTGAGAAACCTGCAGTACCCTGAGAGACCTGCAGGACCCCAAGGACCCTGAGAGACCTGCAGTACCCTGATAGACCTGCAGGACCCCAAGGATGCTGAAAAACCTGGGCCCTATTTCAGAAAGCAGGATTCGGAGTTTGTTCAGCCTGAGATGAAACTCTGTGTTTTACGTTTCACAAAGCCAGCTCAGCGAAACCCTGAGTCAGTTACTATAGCAACTTACTCCATGAAGCAAGCCTGCTGAGTCACAGGTTTGCTTCATGTCAGCCTGAGGCTGAGCGTGTAGCAGGAAGTAGAAACATGGCGTGTCCTTTAGTGAATGAAGTGGTGGAGGTTGAGGCCCAGTGTATTCAGAGGCTGTTGTGTAAGGAGAAGGTGATTAGAGCCTGTTTGGATGTCTCCCTGGAGGAGTGTCTATATGAAAGATACTGTTTGACCTCACACTCTATCATTTATCTAACAATCTGTTCCACCCACATATATCACATATTACACATCCTGGATTTACATTATCATCACAGCACATTTTATGCATTGTCCTTTGATTCTTTTCTTTATAACATCAGAG